GGCACCAATATCGACCCACTAGTATTGATTATCTGCTAGTAGAGGGATGCCCTAGGGACTCTATATAGTTATGTAGGATAGACTGAGGACTCTTGATCTAAGCTCTCTTACCCGTTCCTCATTTGGTTGTGGTTTTAGAGTAGGATCACCCGTCCGGGTGGCCATCTCACCTCTGAGTATACACAATTATGCATTCCTTGGATTTTTGATATTTAGTATGCTACTATGATATGTTAGATCGACATCTTGGTAGATAGGATGTTATTATGCATTTATGATCTGTTAGATAGGTTTGTTTGTCTATAGATTGTTATGTGATTATATGATATATGTGCACATGTTTGATTAGTGGTTGAGGCTTATCTGCTTTGCACGAGAGCCAATAGACCTAGGCATTCCAACCCGATGGTTATGGGCCATGAGTATTCCATCCTGAGGATGATTGGACTCGTAGTATGTGAGCATTCCAACCCGATGGTTGTGGGCTGAGGGTATTCCATCCCGAGGATGACTAGACCTGCTATATACATATATACTGGCATTCCAACCTAGGGTATTCCATTCGGATGGATGACTGGACCCGGAGGTTGATTGGGCCTAGGGTATTCTAACCCGATGGTTGATTGGACCCGACATATTTGTCATAATATATGGTGAGACTGGGATGCTTCGTGCTTCAGTTAACAGGCCTGGGGTATTCCATCCCGATGGATGACTGGACCCATAGTATGTTGGCATTCCAACCCGATGATTGAGGGTCTGGGTTATTCCAACCGATGGTTGATTGGATCTACAGTATGTTGTTTGTGATTATATGTATATTATTGTGTGCATGTGTATTTTGGGGGAACTCACTAAGCTTTGTGCTTACGGTTTTAGTTTATTGTTTCTGGTGCTTCAGATGACTCGGCAAGGCGAAGGCGTGACTGTACACATCCTCGTGATTTGGACTTATGGTTTGTGGGATACTCTGATATGAAAATATTTTGAAAACATTTTGTAATAACTAATGGGTTTGGATGTTTGAAAAAAATTTAAAATTGCTTTATTTTTATGGGTGTTACATCTTCCATTTCTCTTTGTTGCTACGGACCAGCTGGACGATAGCCACCTCATCATGATGTGATAGTAAGAAATGAAAGTATGATGATATATTAAAGAAATAGTTGCAAGCATATTGCTATTAAGGCATTGTACTTTAATCACCTATAAATATGAAAATTAAGCAATAACAAACAGCCGGAGAAACCAATCGGAAAAAAAATGTTGTCACCGGCCGACGATGATGACCCGATGCAGATGCAGTGGTTGGAACTTCAGAGATCACGTTAGAGGGAAGAGGAAACGAAATCCACAACTTGATACTATGTTGAATTGTGAAAATACTCGTTATGGTTTCTATGTATTCCATTCCTTTAAATAATACATGCTGGTAATACTGTATTCACAATAAAGACCCTATAATATTTATGAACATGATATACCAAAGAGATATAAACTAACATCACTGTCTAATACCCATACTTCTGTTTTATATTTATTAGGTTGTATAAATTATTTTCTATCAAATTCTAATTCTAATCAATTCCCGGTTCATGAAATCCCATTTATGGATCGATCAAATTATTTTAAAGAAAGTTGTGAATATAATAAGCTAATCAATTCCCAGTTATTTGATTGCTTCATAGGTAGTTTTCTGTTTTTGGTGTCATTTGGTCATAAAGCCAAGGAGTCATCTAGACGAGAAACAAGATCATTTTTGTGGTTTTGCTATCTTTGATATATGTATGAAACATCTTGATTAAAATAATGAAGCATATGCTTATTATGAGAAAGACAAATTGCTACTAAACTACTGATTGTTGACTCTTCACCATAATGGGCTCTGGAGAAAGAAAGTGAAAGGCGCCTAGAAAGAAGATACAACACAAAAATTTAGAACATTTTTTTTTAAAAGCACAAGTGTGAATGTTCATGTGTCATTGTTGGTCTTTTATAGGTGGGAATTGTCATGCGCTGGTCTTTTATACGGGTGGTCATGGGTTGGATCGGGTAATAATAGATTGGTCTGTTTAATTAAATGTATTGAAAATCTCTATCAAATCTAACTTATTTAACTAAACTAACTATACGGGTTGAAAATTCTCAACCCAACTCAACCTTTTTAATAAATGGGTTGAAATTAGTTTGATACGGCTACGTTTTTCCAACCCAACCTATTTAGTAAACAAGTTAACCCATGTTGACCCGTTTAAAATTTCACAAAAAACCCTTAAGAATCATATAATCCATCAAATAAAGTTACATATAATTTAAAGGCCACAATAATTGTCCATATACAACAATGATTTTATATGCCTATAACACAAACACAAATAAGTGTTTACAACCATAAAACATTATAAATATTAATTTATAAATTCTATTCAACTTGACTATCACTTTTACCAACTTGAATTCTAGTAATGGTTACTAACATATGGTTTTTGATAAATAAAAAATAATCAAAATATAATGATCAACTAAATAATAATACTAAATAAATATAAATTAAAAAATATTTAAAATTTTTTAAACAAGTTGGCAAGTTGTAAATGAATTACGAATTTTAATCCTAACCCAACGAATTTAATTAAATATGTTAGACGAGTTGATCCATTTAATTAAATGAATTCAAAATCTCAACTCAATATCCTATTTATCGAGTTGGATTGATGTGGTTGTAGTTGAGATTGGCACCCCTAGTTCTTTTATTCTTTAAGTTTTTTATAAACATAAAATAATTGGGAACATTTTTTTAATGGAGCCATTCAAAAAGTTTACTTCTTTTTTCTTTGTAGAAATAAACTGGTAACACAGTCCGTATTTAAAAATACAAAGTGAAAGTAGAATTTGTTCCAAAATGTAAATAATAATATATTGGAAAGATATCTAACTTTTCAAAATGCTATGCATAATTTATGCGTTGTTGATACTACAAAACATGTTTGTTGTTTTAAATTTACCAACATCCAAAAAGTTTTTTAGGTGGCCCTATGCTCTAGACACAAACCAATTCTGTTAATGAAGGTTTATAATTATTATCTTTTATCATGTATGTATTTGGCTCTTATGTATGGCCCAATCAGTATATATATATATATATATATATATATATATATATATATATATATATATATATATATATATATATATATATATATATATATATATATATATATATATATATATATATATATATATATATATATATATATATATATATATATATATATATATATATATATATATAAAAGTTTTGAAAATTTTTAACAGTAAATGACATATTTTTGGTCACTTTTGGTCCTACAATATTTACAACATTGACCTTTCACTTTTATGTTTTTGTTTATAAACAACCTTTTAACTTTGGTTTGAATTTTTTATAATCCTCGCATTTTATTACATATTATTAGTATTCTTACTTAATCCTTCACCTTTATGCTTTTGTTCACAAACAACCCTTTCACTTTGGTTTGAAAAATGATCCCTCAAACTATATTTTCGTCATTTTAACATTGCTTCAGTTTTGTCTTTTTTGGTACCTGTGGTTTACCAGATTTAACACATTGAGGACAACGATGGAAATCAAAATTACTCTTTTACTCCTAATCCGATTTTTTTATTAATTTATACTTTTCTTTTTCGTTTTAAATTAATGTTTTGTTTATTAAAAAATACCCGCCTAATACCATAAAGCCACTCACTATCTGTCATCACCACCACCACCACTACCACCGCCAAAATTACATAAATGGTCTATATAGTTTACCCGTGGTTACAAATTCAGTCCCTACTACCTGAAAAGAACAACTTACCCTCACATTAACGGACAAAAAATAGCGGTCTATATTTTCCAGATTAGTTTTCTGGGCGCTGCTATACATGGCAATAAAGTTCAATTTGTGACACCATTTCTTTATTTTTCTCATTTATTGTAAGAAATAACTATTTAGATTTCTTTACTTATGTAATTAGATGACATTGTTTATCTTTCTTTACTGAATTATCTCAATTCAATTCAACATGCTACTTTACTTTACAAAGCAATACCTTTCGACCCCAGCAAAGCCGATGAATCCTTTCTAGTTTATATTATATTTTTAATATATATTTCTAAAGATTTATGTAGAAAAGGCTTTTTGGAATTTTTTTTAATAAAGTTCTAAATTTTTTTTTTGTTTTTTTTTCTGAATAGAAAAGTTATATTATTTTAGAAAATATAATCAGTTATTTCCTGTTAAAATAATTTTTTTTTATTAATTTGAACGAAATGTTAAATAATTAGGACTTCTTTGTTACAATTTTTTTTAAACTTTATTAAAATCTTTTTCAAGATAATGAAACTTTTCTGCATAAAATACTATTTCCATTTAATGAGAAATGATCATTATGTAAAACATTCTCCATGCTCTAGACATAAACCAATTTTGTTAGCGTACGCGTAACAAAAAGATGCAAATTAGTGATGAAAACATATGGTCACTAACAATAAAAGGAGTCGTCACTAATGATTTAGTGACCAAACTTTTGGTCGTCATTTTCCGTTATGGTAGGTCCATCCCAAAAACTGATTAGTGACCAAAATATAAAAATGGGCACTAAATGGTGACTAAGTTTATTGGTCACTATCTGTGACGACCCGTTTTATCACTAAATATCGTCACTAATCAATGAAATATGTCACTGTTTTATCTAATTAGTGACTATAAAATATCGTCACTATCTTATCCGATTAGTGATCATAGAAAGTTTTGACTAATTTATCCAATTAGTAACCATAAAACGTCAGTTATTAATTTACTCAATTAGTTACCAAAAAATTATGATTTTTGTTGCTGTTTCTTGCATTTTAACCCATTAACAAAAATAAATCACCCCCATTAATAGAGAGTGAAAATTACCACTCTATTTTAGCATTTCTCATCAACTCTTTACACTACCAACCTTTTTGTATATACAAAAAAAGTATTTTCGAAAGGAGTTTTTTACCAAAACTCATGCTTTTATACCGACATGAACCTCTTGTACCAACGAACCCAAAAGAAACATAAACTTAAATCTATGGAAGAATTCATCATTAGGCATCTCATTATTTTTCTCAACGTGATCGAGTATCATCTATCAACCCGGATCATTACTAATCTTTCTTCAAAATTTTCTTGGAGGAAATTATTGGTTAGATTAATGTCTTGTTGTTCCTGTATAACAAACATCTTCATCGTCTTGGTTTGTATGAACACGTGCATGGCTCAAAACTTTTCTGCAATCTTTATTTTCGGTGATTCACTTGTAGATGTGGGTAACAATAACTACATCACAACATTTGCTAAGGCGAATTATGAGCCCGTCGGGATTGATTTTGGGAAGCCAACAGGAAGATTCACGAATGGAAGAACTGTTTGTGACATATTAGGTAACTCAATCTTTTCCATATAGTTAAAAGCTATTGACTTTGGAATTTATTTAGTTTCATTCTTATTACGTTTTGTTAATTACCTCAGGTCAATCATTGGGTTTCAAACATTTTCCTCCACCATACCTAGCTCCTACCACTTGTGGTTCTGTAGTTCTTGATGGCGTAAATTATGCTTCTGGTGCTGGTGGAATACTAGATGAATCTGGAGCAAACTACGTAAGTCCTATAACACTGTATACTATACAGTGGCTTTTTCTTATAATTACATGAATTTTAGAGGGTTTATGATGTAGATGAACCTGTAGACAAATGGGCAAAATATGATCATTCTCTGAAATTTGAAAAAGTAATAAGGTGGTGTTTTATTAGAAAAACCATGTGAATTATCACTAATTTTGCACATGTGTGTGAAATTTCTTTAATTTGCAATATTAAACGCTAGTTTAACATTCATCTAGTAAATGAGTTAATTTAAAAACATTAAATATAAAAGTTAAAATATTTGAAACTTTAACTTTATAAGATTATAAGAAAAATAATGAATTATTAAAATTGAAATGTTTTTTTTTTATATATTTTAAATTTAAACAAATAATTTAAATAAATAAACAAACAAAATTAATGAGTTTTAATTTGAGAATTTTGAAATTAAAAGATAAGTGTATTAATGAATTTGATATCTATTTATTAGTATATTTATTGTAATTATTAAATTGTAGTATTATGTGGAATTTATTAAAATAATAAAATCCATAAAATAAAATGTGCAAAAAAATTAAATCAAAATAATCTAAAAATGATATTTAACAAATTGAATGAAAATATGAAATATAACAAATAAAAAAAAACAATTTATTAAAATAGATTCTAACTAAGAGCATACATAATACAATAAACAATAGTAGCTTACGTCCGATTTTTCCAAAAGATTTTTGAAACCAATAAACTATTAAAAATTGAAAAATGAGTTTTTATTTATTTATTACTTTTTTAAACAAAGATTTTTGAAGAAGCTTATAATTTTACAAGTTATTGTCACAATCTTTTCAATGGTTAAAGTGAGTTTATAGATTTTCATCGGTTATAAACGAATAATTTATCCAAACAATAAGCAAAAAGAAAAAAAAAAACTCTCTTATTATGAAAATAATGATCTTTATTTATTTATTAAAAATACCAAAATAAAAAAATTTATTTATTATAGATGCTTTAATTTATGCATTATAATAAAAGGAGAATTTTGTATATATTTTTGATAAATATCATAATATCATATTTTGTCCGACCTAATTTCTAAATAAAATATTTATCCTTTTAACTTTCAAAATAGAAAAAACATCATAAATGGTTCCTTTGGTTTCCTCAAATCTAAAGTTTAGTCCCCATGGTTTAAAAACGGCATACATAGTCCATGTGCTTTCAAAACTTTTGACGATTGGTCCTTATCGTTAACTCCGTTAAGTTTTATTTGTTAACTAAAGGGCATTTTCGTCATAAATGGATAGATAGTCACTGTGCTTTCAAAACTTTTGACGATTGGTCTTTATCGTTAACTCCGTTAAGTTTTGTTTGTTAACTAAAGGACATTTTCGTCATTTCACTACCACATGGACCATTTATGATGAAAATGCCCTTTAGTTAACAAACAAAACTTAACGGAGTTAATGATAAGGACCAATCGTCAAAAGTTTTGAAAACACATGGACTATCTATGATATTTTTAAACCATGAGGATTAAACTTCAGATTTGAGGAAACCACAGGAACGATGTTTTTTCTTCAAAATATTATATTTAAGCTAACAATTATTTTTTAGTTGTTTTTTTAATCATTTTATACTCAACTTTTATATTTCAAAATTATTATAAGTACAAAACATATAGGTTGACCAAATGCCCCTAAATATCAAAATCTAATTAAATCCAAACATTTGATCATATAAACAACGCATGTATTTTTCCCATAGCCTCCAACGTCCCCATTTGTACATAGAATATAAAAATACATAATTTTCTATAATTTTCTGATTTCATTATTCGGGTTCCATACCACTTGACACGAAAGTTGAATTAGCTACAATGATTTCTTTATTATTTTATTTTTTCAATATCCATTTTTTTTTCAAAATTATGTTTTTTGTCAAGTATTATTTCTACGATTTTTTAATTGATTCATCTTGAAAAAAAAAAGGTTAAGGAGTTAGATTTATTCTCAATTCCTCTTTCTAGTGGTTTGTAAATCATTTGGGTAAATATGATATTTAAATTTTTTATAAACCATATACATGTTATTTTAAACATAGATCTATAAGATTGTATAATAGCCACTTGATTAAACTAAGTATTTAATAAGATTATAAAAATGTTTATAACTTTTTTTTGGGTAAGTATGATATTTTAAAATTTTAAAAAATATATAATATTTAAAATTAAATTGAGATAAATACGATATTTTAACATTTAGTAGTTTTTTTTATTATAATAATAATATAAAATTATCTAATTACTTGGTTTAATCAACTCACATGTGCACGCTGGCTAGCTAAGTACAATCTAAATTGTTAAAAGTGTGACAATACATATGACATTCTGGAAAAAAACATTGATCAATTTTTTCTAATTTATATTACTTATAAAATATGTTAGATTGTGAAAAACAATAGTTATTTTATTTATTTATTTATTTATTAAATAAGTTACAGGTAAAACTCCACAATTGAACGATTGGTCTTTATCGTTAACTCCGTTAAGTTTTGTTTGTTAACTAAAGGACATTTTCGTCATTTCACTACCACATGGACCATTTATGATGAAAATACCCTTTAGTTAACAAACAAAACTTAACGGAGTTAATGATAAGGACCAATCGTCAAAAGTTTTGAAAACACATGGACTATCTATGATATTTTTAAACTATGAGGATTAAACTTCAGATTTGAGGAAACCACAGGGATGATGTTTTTTCTTCAAAATATTATATTTAAGCTAATAATTATTTTTTAGTTGTTTTTTTAATCATTTTATACTCAACTTTTATATTTCAAAATTATTATAAGTACAAAACATATAGGTTGACCAAATGCCCCTAAATATCAAAATCTAATTAAATCCAAACATTTGATCATATAAACAATGCATGTATTTTTCCCATAGCCTCCAACGTCCCCATTTGTACATAGAATATAAAAATACATAATTTTCTATAATTTTCTGATTTCATTATTCGGGTTCCATACCACTTGACACGAAAGTTGAATTAGCTACAATGATTTCTTTATTATTTTATTTTTTCAATATCCATTTTTTTTTCAAAATTATGTTTTTTGTCAAGTATTATTTATTCATCTTGAAAAAAAAAGGTTAAGGAGTTAGATTTATTCTCAATTCCTCTTTCTAGTGGTTTGTAAATCATTTGGGTAAATATGATATTTAAATTTTTTATAAACCATATACATGTTATTTTAAACATAGATCTATAAGATTGTATAATAGCCACTTGATTAAACTAAGTATTTAATAAGATTATAAAAATGTTTATAACTTTTTTTTGGGTAAGTATGATATTTTAAAATTTTAAAAAATATATAATATTTAAAATTAAATTGAGATAAATACGATATTTTAACATTTAGTAGTTTTTTTTATTATAATAATAATATAAAATTATCTAATTACTTGGTTTAATCAACTCACATGTGCACGCTGGCTAGCTAAGTACAATCTAAATTGTTAAAAGTGTGACAATACATATGACATTCTGGAAAAAAACATTGATCAATTTTTTTTTCTAATTTATATTACTTATAAAATATGTTAGATTGTGAAAAACAATAGTTATTTTATTTATTTATTTATTTATTAAATAAGTTACAGGTAAAACTCCACAATTGAACGTCTTTATTGATTTAACGACTAAATTATTTTTTTATTTTTAATAAAATTTTAAGTTAATTTCATCATTCTTGAAACACTTAAAAAAAATAATAGTAACATATTACTTAGTTAATATAAACATTTATTACATATCTCTACATGATACCCCAAATAAATAATATTGAATATACTAATTTGTTTTGGATAGTTATGTACATTATTATTACAATTATTATACTAAATCCTCTTTAATAATTTTTTTTTTGTCACTCGTTACACTCTCATTCAATTTTTCAAATATCATTTTATGGTTATTTTGAATTATTTTTTTTCCACATGTTATTTTATGAAATTTTATATTTTATTAAATTTCATTTTATTAAATTTTCATTTTAATGTAATAATTGTAATAAATGTAGTAATAAACTAATATTAATTTCATTAATGAACTTACCTTTTAATTTCAAAATTCTTAAAATTAAAGGTCATTAGTTTTATTTATTTATTTAAATTATTTTTTTAAATTTAAAAGATATATAAAAAAATTTCCATTATATTTCATTATTTTTCATATTTTTTTAAAATTCAAAGTTTTCAAATTCTTTGATATATTTTTTTAATTTAACCTATATAATACATGAGTTTCACAACTAGTAAATAAATAAACAAAACATGGTCTCATGGAATTAAAGTAATTTAGGGTTATACTAGATTTATGGTTAAAAAGAAACTAACTAAATAGTTATTTATTTTAAATAAATTAAACATAATAAATAAAAGCGATTTTGAAGGTTTTAACAAGACGATTGCAATTATTTTTTTTTTCCTATAAATGACTTTTATTTTTTTAATATTAAATGTTTAACAAGTTATCAAGTCATTATAATGTTTGTCTTTTTAACAGAGAAATTGAGTAAATTAACCATTATAAATAAGGTTTTCAAAGAAATTAACTATATTTTTTCAGTTTTTGAAAACAATCATTTTGTCTAGAATGCTTAATTTCCAAGTACTATTTATATTCTGAAGTTTTTTTTTTTGGATTCCAAATACTATATTTCAAATGTTTAATGTTACTGACTTTTAATAAAATATATAATTTCATTTACTAACAACGTATACAGTTCACTTTAATATGTTTTTTTTTTTTTTTTTTTTTTTTTTTTTTTTTTTTTTTTTTTAATTTCTTGTAAAATTTAAGTAACAAAACGATTTTTTTGTCGAAATTCCAAACTTTTTCTTGAAATTCTGGAGTTTTTACTTTTTTCGAAATCCGAAATTTTAGTCCGATATCTGGAATGTTGGTCAAGAATCTGGAATTACATTTCGGAATTAGTGAAAAAAATATTTTTTCTTGGTCCGAAATATCCCATTCTGGACAAAGTGATTATTATTGCAATATATATATATATATATATATATATATATATATATATATATATATATATATATATATATATATATGTTATTTTTTTCAAATATACATTAAAAAATGGTTAGATTACTTAATAAATGGTCATCTTTGGTCCTTGGCAGTATAGTAATAGACAGTCCAAACCGGTGAAAAAGTAAGACGTGCAAGAGTTTTACAAAAGATAATTGTCAAGTAAAAAAAAATCAATTGGTTAGTCTAAAATTATGATGTTTGGTTATTTAACTATTTAAACACTTGAATATGTTAAATTTTTATAGTTATTTACTTATTTTTACAGGATATATGTAATATTTAATACTTTTTAAAAATAAATTCTATTACATTAATAAAGGGTCATCACCTATACAAGTTAGTCATTTGACCTTTATCGACCATCCGACTACCGTGTAACGACTTTTACAACTTTGATATGAACATAAATGAAAATAGATTTACATAATGTATATAAAGAAAATAAATGAACACTAACATCAAAATCAATAATCTTAAAGAAAAATAAATGAACACCAACATCAAAATCAATTTAGATCTACTTAATCAATTTAGATCTACTTAGCGGTTGCTACTTTTGATATTTTATCAAATCTAGAAAGTACAGCTTAAACAATTCTATAAGCTCTAGTTGCACTTTCACCGGTTGTATAATATTAATATAAAAGAATGAGCATAGACGGCCACATAAAAAAAAGACACATGATTAAATAAACGGGAATGTAAATTAACAAGAGAAACCGATATAGTTGTTCCTTTGTTTAACTAAAAAAAATCTTATTTATGTTTTTTCACTTATTAAATAAATGAATATAAATGAACTTCTAGCCGAAAAATTTCATGAATTATTTACTAAACGTACGGTTAGAATGAATATCCAATGTAACAATGAAAAAAAATTCAAGTTTTTTATCGATTGAGATGAAGTTTCATTGATGCTTTTCTTTTTTACGTAATAAAGCTAGCATCACTTTTATTTTCTTTTACAGATTGGTAGAATTGCTATGGATGCGCAACTCAAAAATTTTGCAAAGACGAGACTCGACATAATCTCAATCTTAGGCGCTCCTGAAGCACTTAATTTCTTCGCTACTGCTCTCTTCACAGTAACAATGGGCTCCAACGATTTTATCAATAACTATTTCATTCTACCAGGTCGTTCACAGCCGGTGCCTCCGAAAACTTTCATTCAATCGATGATTTCAGCATTTAGAAGACAACTTACGGTAACTTACTCCATCCAACTACACATATTTTTCTATCTGTAACAAATAAATGGTTTTATATATTTGACCTAAACAATGTTGAAAATTTGACCTAAAAAGATCGTATTTCAAACAAGTCTAGTAAAACTTTAAAATAAGTGGGTATCTTATATAAGGAAACCAAATATATAAAAAAAAAACTTTGGTGGTGAAAAGTTATAGTTGTTTGTAGATATGATTTTTAAAATAAAAGAGGTTGAAATGAAGATTTGAGGATGAAAGTTGAAAATTTATCCACCCAAGCAATCTTATTGTGTTATATTACATTGTGTTTATGGATATGAATGGATGATATATGAGAGAAATAGAGATATTTGGGATTTGTTTAGTTTTTTGGAAACTTGTACAAGACCGGGTGATCATAGGATGACTCAGATGGGGCCAAAGTGTTTAACTGACCAATGGAGACCAAGGGAGCTGGGACCCTATAGAGCTCCGAAGGCGAAAGGCACAACCAAAGGAGATGGGGAGAGAGATGAGAAGTGAGAGAGGGGAGAATGGGGAAATAGGAAGAACATCTTTAGGGTTTAGGATGTTATAGTAGGAAGGAGGAAGAAAGCGATTAAAGTTATTCAAGGGGAAGTAATCTTTATCAAAAACCATGTCGTGGGACAATCACTTTGTGAGTCATTAGATCAAGGCATATATAGTCGTGGTGGTTCGAACTTGTTCCAAGATAGACACATGCAGATGATCTTGGAGAAAGTTTGTGCCAGGTAGTAGATGAGGTGTTAGGGTAGAAACCCAAACACCTATTAATAAAGTATAAGGGAAAGAAGACAAAAAGGATCTCAAATGGAGGTTTTGAGAGCTAAGGGTGAGGTAAGTAATAGATTTAGAGTATGGACATGCACAAAGTATAAGGGAAAGAAGACAAAAAGGATCTCAAATGGAGGTTTTGAGAGCTAAGGGTGAGGTAAGTAATAGATTTAGAGTATAGACATGCACAAGTAACGCTTGAGTCTAACAATATGGGGGCAACAAGTCTTGAAAGAGAAAGGCATATGGATAAGAAAACCAAATTTTAATACCATTAGATGGTGTGCATTAAAAGTTCAACCTTTCCATTTTGATGCAAAGTATATGGACAAGAAAACCAAATTTTAATACCATTAGATTTGAGAAATGGTTGTTGATTATTAAACTCACGTCAATTTTTGTATTGGAAAGGCTAAATATCGGTTTCAACTGATTTGAGACATAAGCACAAATTTTTTTAAAAACATAAAAAATAATATGTGTTACGTTAGGGAAACACCCATTAGAAATGTGAAAAAGAATTTAAAAATAATATATAATATTTAAATCAGAGTGTATTAATTAAACAAGCACAAAGTTTTTGTAGTCGAAGAAAAAAAATGAAACTTACAATGTTTGCCAAGTTTATATGCATGGCCAGTAGACAATTTATTTAAAGAATTAAAAAATAAAACACGAGATTTTAGAGACGAAAGGATACACATGCCAATGTGTCGAAGACGACTAAGACACTCTTATCATTGACGCATCATTCCATTATTACTGAAGACATCATTGAAAACATATATTCTTTTGCTGTGGAAGGGATTATAATTTATTTTGTAATGTAATTGTTTATACAGTGTCGGTAATAATAATTATAATGTGTCGATAATATAAATGTAATAATTATAAAGTGTCAGTAGGTTACGGTATGATGTAACATAAAGTGTGTTACACACTGTGATTTCCAAAACCTTTATTTAAAACCGAAATCATTTACACATAATCTTTAGAACCATAACGTTATCAGAGTATCCTAAAACCATAAGTTCCAAAACACGAGGATGTGTATGGTCACGCCTTCACCATGCCATGATCCATTCAAGTACCTGAAACCATAAACCAAAATTGTAAGCACGAAGTTTAGTGAGTTCCCCCAAAATACTGATAGATAACAAATAGCACATATACAAATAACAACATGTAATGGGTCCACAACTTTACAGACTAGATTACCCCCGAGCCCACAGTATGAGTATGGCTTGCCTTACAGGCCCACAACTCACATTTGGCTTGCTCTCAAGCCCACAACATAAGTGTGGCTTGCTCTCAAGCCCACAACGTATGACTGGCTTACTCTTTGAGTCCTAAGACTGGAATCTAAATGATCAGCCCTCAGTATGAGTCTAGCATGCTCCCCTGACCCTCAGCTCGCATCTGGAATGCTTAGAAGTCCTTAGTACGAGTCTGACATGCTCTCCATATCCCTTAGCTCATATATGTCATGCTCTAGGGTTTGTTAGGCACAGAGTAGTACAAACTCAACCCTACCCACACAACATGTCGACATGAAACAGATAAGCAGACATATAATGTACCGATACAAACACTATCGGGTTTGTTGACTGGCAACACAAAGCAGCACAGTCTCAACCCAACCACATTACATCAACACATGCTATTGGAAACATATAGTCAGAACAGATAACATGCAGATCTAACAGATCACGAAGCATAACATCATCATATCTAACAGGATACCGATCTAATAAATCATAACGACATAACAACATCCTATCTACCAGGATACAGATCTAACAGATCATAATAACATAACAACATCCTATAACTAGGATAAAAATCCAAGGGCCAACATTGGTGCCTTTGACCCCTAAGTATAGTGAGGAAAACTTACCTCGCACTGCCGAACACACAGACGATCCCTGGCTGCTGACTGCCAGATCCCGAACCACCAACATCAAGATAATGCCCCAACAAAGCTGATTCCATGAATAATCTCTGACTACAGATCCGCTATCACACATACGCTAACACATTCCAAAATAACAATCCATCAATATTTTAGTCGTTGACTCACACAATGAGTCCGAATTAGGGTAAAAGACCTTTTTACACTTCAAGCCTGGCACAAAGATAAGGCCCAAACTAGATGACAAAAGGCCCAACATCAAAATAAACTCCTTAAATTAGCCTACGACACAACCATCCAAATAGACCATTAGGGCCTAAGTATGAAGGCCCAACAGATGACCCAATACCCGAAGCCCAACAGAAGGTGTATGCAGGGCGTACCCCTTCGGTACGCTGGACGTACCTCGCAATGCATTGACCAATTACCGGGGGGGGGGGGTGACTCCGAACGCGGGGTATACCCTCGCAGGTCTTAAAATTCCATTAAGTGCTTAATGGATCAAGCACCTAAGCTAAAAGTTCAGATCCTCTACTACATTGTGCTCTAGAACCATAAAGTCTCAAACTTTAAGACTTTGGTCGACCAAAAAGGGCTTAATGCATGGTCTTAATCCATTAAGACCCTTCTACCAAATGCATGATGTACTTCTGGACATCGAGACCTTATTTTTATGACTAAGGACCCTTCCTAGGTTCTAGGAGGACAGTTCAAAACATCCAAAACATGTCATGCACACGATGGAACATTTGGGAACAAGAAGAAACATAAAAAGACCCAAACATGAGATCTAACAAATAAACCAAAAAGGTATGACCTTTATACCTTAAAAATGATGGAGAAGAGTGCCAAAATTCTAGATCCAATCATTGCTTTAAGCTTCCAAGCTCCTTGATGCACTTCTCTTTCCTTAAATTCACCAAGAATGCACTTTAAGGCTCATAATAACACTCTAGAGGGTTAGGGTCTTGCAAGAACGAATCTAAGACTTTAGAGGTTGAAAAGGTGGGGATAAATGACCATAAGAATGCTTAAATACCCCATAAACCCTAAAATTTTGGGTTCCCACCGAACATGCGTACGCCCACCATACATGTGTGTACGCCTAGCATACTAAGGTATGCCCTAGTACGCTTAGCGTACTCATTTGTACGCTCATCGTACCCCTTCCACACCTAAAATACAAACTTGCCACTAAGGCTTCCCATGGACACCTCCTTCTAAACCAAGGAATAAAAGACATAATTAACAACTAAGGGATGGATTTGAAAATACATGAAAATTGGGGTGTTACAACTCTCCCCCACTTAAATTCAATTTCATCCTCGAAATCATCCCTGACCATCCCTGGCATGCCTGACATCCTGAGGGATACAATCACAACCTTGAACATACCATGAACTTCCCTAGGCGATCGATATCAGAAGAGAAATTTCCAATCCTAAGAAAACAATCCTATAATTCCATGCAGCAAATCAACCCTACTGCACCTGAAAATCTGCCATCTGAAATCTCAAATTTGGTTTGACTCCCCGACAGACTGCCCATGTTAACCATTGCTAATTCCGTGATACTCATTCATCAAACTATCTATTCAACTCCTGAAGAAAACAAATTCGCAGACACAACGAGATAAAATATACTAATTTCCTTAACTGACGAACTGATACCCGACTGATATAATCCCCAAAACCCCATGACCTTCAGACATTGCACAGAGACACTCACGATTCCCAACGAGAGTTTCCACCAAAGCCCACATGGAAATGGCCACTCATAATACCTTTGCGCAAAACCTCCCCTAAAACTAATGACTATCCATCTGAATTTACCCCCAGTCCCTAACTGGGCACTACTTGAAACATGAAAAATGATCCTCGAAACACACCGACCGCGAACTTTTTAATAAAATCAACCATATGATGGACAAAAACCTCAACAAACCTTGACTCTTTGCCATGCCATTGCAACCACTTCTTCGATGAGCAACGACATTCAAACCAGAAATTCCCGTGATACATCTAACCCCTACCGGCTCAGGTGTACCCCACCTGAGCATTTACTTGAGACAATTACAAAGAGCTTTATGAATTACAACTGCATAAGCATTTTCCCATCTTGAAAACCAGAAATCCTAACAACAACTTGCGAACCATTGGAATTACTGAAAACTGAACGAACATAGAATATACTGAAAAGGAGGGTAGCTGACACATTCCTCAACCTTTAACTGTCACCACTTAAATCCTTCGAATAATTCCCGCTAAATAACAAACTCAACGACTAATGTTCTAGGACACCTTGACACCTAAACCAGAGAAACCACAACCCACCAAGAGCTGAACATACCCACTTCTGAAAAGGGTTCACCGATCAACATTTGTCCAACAAATATGAAAGGAGCAAACCACACAACGAACTGACAAAACCCTCAATAACTGGAACTCATAGTGAGATCCGAATTCTCCCTAACTTAGAATTCGAACCATCGCCCACTGGTGGTGAAACCAAAATATAACCCAAGCAGCCCATCCAGATACAACCATACTTGACCATTTATTGAATAACATAAGCAGAATAGAACTTAAAAGAATGGATCCAACGAACCCTAAGAGAATCTTAATTCCAACTGCAATCCCCTGTATTTCCAATAATAGCCTCTTACAAGGCATATGCAACTACCTATTTTTGATCCATGCATACACCCCTGTATGCAACCCACACAAAAATCTGACACCTGGCCTTCCCATCCCCAAAGGATTCAACCCTTGCTTACGTTGCTAAAATACTCGTGCCAAATCAGCCACTTGCACAC